TCAGCTGTTCACTTCAGGAAGATGCTGCAACCCATTTGCTGGTTCCATTTCCCTCTGTCGCCTCTTACGCTCCCAGGATGTTATGGTGTAGGCGATATTCTTACCAACCACCACTATACGATTAACATTCGAGCAATACATAATTATTACAAGTATAATAATGTACTCACTTGTTTAATTTTTCTTTTTTTATTATAATTTTTTCGTGAAGTATTAAACAATACATAAAAGAACTCTGCAACGACTATTAGAGGCAACCGATCGGCTAAAATTAGCTCGCAGTGTCGCTGGTGAATAATTCACTGCAGCAAATCGACCGCGGGTCGCCAAGCACTCTAACCAGCTAGCTATACCACGCACGTGCCACCTTTCCACTCAAAGCTATCGATTCTTACATTACACTCTTTTAGATTATGGAAATATTTTATCCGTAAAACGTTTAACTTGCGGTAAACCGTAATAGCCTGTTCCCATTTGTCAGATATCAGATAAAATTTTTAATCGAATTTCTGAATCGAATGACGAATCGAATGTTGAATCTATCTGAATATTATCGTCGTGGCACAAAATATATTGGGTATAATTGTAAACACCGCAAAATATTTTGTATCTTCTACTCCACCTGATGGTAAGTGGACGCTGCGGCACCAGACACCTTTTTTATAGAATAAGTGTGACAAACGAGCACCTTACCAGATAGTAAGTGGATGCTGTGGCCCATAGACATCTACATCTATGCTTGATTAAGAATTAAAATTCAGATGCGTAGTCACCCCTGAGGACTAAGATGGAATTGGTCGTTTCGATTAAAAAGGCGTCTCCGGTTCTCTACATTCCCTATACGAAACCAGGGCTCGGATAACGGTATATTTTTCGAAACGTTTTCGCCTTAAATACATAAAAACTTATTTGTTTCGTTTATGTTCGAACGGAATCATAATAAAAACTTTTATGAAGAGAACGAAATTTTAAATCGTTCTTGTTCATTAAAATGTTTTTAACCATTTTAAACAGTTTTTTTTCCAATTTTTGGGCCCTGCAACACGAAATAAAAATTCCTACGGAATAAAGCGTTTTTTACGTTTTCACATTACGTTCTCATTTCGTTTTTGTTTCGAACAAAATGTTATACAAGGAACCGTCCCAAACGTTTTAAAAACGTTATTTTAAATAACGTTTCCGAGCCCTGTACGAAACACAACAGCATTATGTTGCTGTTTTACGCTGGTATTATGTGAGAACATGTAACTCTAATTAATAGAATCAGGCGTTACTTTGCGGAAATCCATTATATAAAAGCTTTTACAAAAATTTACTTCGCAAATATCCGCGTTATAAAATAAAATGATGTGTCTTACCTAGTATGAAGAAGCACCTCCCGCCCTCCCTCAATTGCGTGAACTATCCCCGTCACCACTAATCCCAGCACCGCTACTTCCAACACCACTACACTAGGCAAGACACACCACTGACGATAATACGACACGTGTCACACGTAAATTTTTGTAAAAGCTTTTACATGTAACTCTGTAACCTAATTCTACTCTCAATTCGATCAAAGACCATTAATTTTATCAATTTTTTGATTTCAGAAAAAATCTCCATGTTTTTCTTATAAAATATAGCATAGATCATTCCTGGCATTACTTTCTATCTGTCCTTGAACTTTACAATCGGTTCAGCCATTACTAAGATTAATCCGGACAGACAGACAGACAGAGAGAGAAACAACATTTTTAAAATGCATGTAAATAAGCCCTCGGCTACATAAAATATAGTTAATTACATACAGACATTTCAATTTTATTTATATTCACATTCTGGAATCGAGGTTATTCGTCAATTTTTATACGTGGTAGAGCCATGCTGCAGCTATATTATGGTTGTAGCACAAATGGGTCGGCTCGACCGGGGAAGGACCACGCTCTCACAGAATACCAGCGCAAAATAGCAGCTTAACGCTGCTGTGTTTCGTATGGTGAGTGTAGAGAACCGGAGACCCTTTTTACTGGAAACGAGGCATTCCATCTTAGTCCTCACGGGTGACAACGCATCTGCATTTTGATTCGTAATCGAAGATAATGTAGATGTCTACGGGCCACAGCAACCACTTACCATCAGGTGGACTGTGTGCTCGTTTGTCACCCTTATCCTATAAAAAAATAATCTTATTTTCCCCCCATCGTCTTGTTCATAAAAGCAAGATCGTAAAATATTTCACTATAACGACACAGCGTAGGTGTCGATCATAAAACTAATGTTAATTGATTGATCATACTTCTAAATATTGTGATACAAGTTTTTTTTTATATAAAACTGACGTGACAGACAAGTTTATAGTCCTCATGTTGCGTTAACAGGACTAAGATGGAATGCCTAGTTTCCAGTAAAAAAGGGTCTCCGGTTCTCTACACTCACCATACGAAACACAACAGTGTCAAGCTCCCATTTTACGCTGGTATTCTGTGAGAGCGTGGTTCTACTCTGATCGAGCCGACACATTCGTCCTTCATCTATAATATAGCTGCAGCGTGGATCCAGTACGTATAAATTGCCATTGTTTTTTCATAAAAGATAATTGTTTGTTATCGGCTCCATCAAAGCATTTTGTTGCGTGATTCTTTCATTTATCGAAAAGTTGATTTCACCTTTTTCATTAAATGAAACTAATTTTTACGGATTTTATCGCATTTAATTTAACTTTTTAATTCCCGACGTTTCGGGTGCATTACAGCACCCATGGTCACGGGGGAGAGGGGGCTGAGGAGTTTAACGTCCCGATGTCATAATTAGCCCGGCTACCTTCAGTTTTTGAATATTAATTTTTGGTCCGATCTACGCAGAATGAGCTTAGAGTATCTTGAAGTCTTGCAGTGGTATGCTTGGGTTTGGATTTAATTTTGTTAATTATAGGATTCCAAGCATATGGCAGCAGCCATCCATCTTCTCTATTGAAATTAGGGTGTTTTTTAATTTCAATAGCCTCTCGAATCATCCTTGGTAGGAATCCGTTTTCTTTTGCGAGGATTTGTGGTCTATCAAATCTAATGTTATGTAACGGGGGTGGGGGGAGGGGTTATATTTAGTCGGGCTAACTATGACATCGGGACGTCAATCACCTCAATCCCCCCGTGACCATGGGTGCTGTAAATCACCCGAAACGTCGGGAATTAAAAAGTTATTTAAACGCGATAAAATCCGTAAAATTAGTTTCATCTAATAAAAAATTATTCTCTACCAGACGACAGAGATATTGAGAATAATTTTCCGTAGGTGTCTCGGTGTTTCATTTAATGTGGAGTCTTCGCGTAAATATAAGAAATCAGTATGTTCTCCTTTTTCATCATAAACGATTTTTTTGTTATAAAATAAGGGTGACAAACGAGCATCTAGTCCACCTGATGTTAAGTGGATGCTGTAAACCATAAACATCTACATTTATCCTAAATTAAGAATCGAAATGCATGACACTGATGCGTTGACACTCCTGAAGACTAAGATGGAATGCCTCGTTTCCAGTAAAAAGGTTCGCTATTTCTCTCGACTCACCATACGTAATACAGCAGCATTAAGCTGCTATTTACTATGATACTTTATAAATCCACTGCTGGACATACGCCTCTTCTAGACTCTTGTATAGAAGTTTGAGCTCGTAGCAACCGATATCTAACGACTTAAATGCTTTTGCCTTCCTCAAGTTCATTCATACATTCATTACAGCCGTCATATCAAATGTCCACTCCTGAACATTGACCTCCACCAAAGAATGCCGAAAAGCACAGTCCTGAGCCACCTGCATCCATAGACTTCACTGCATGTCTTATCAGGACGTCACTCCTTCTAGAATGTATTCTTAAATATGATTAAGTGTTTGTTAATGAAATCGGATTTACAATTTATAAACAACTTCAGATAACCTTTCCAAATACCCTAAATGGTAATAAATTATATTGTTTTCATTTTTCATTTTAAATAAATAATCAATTGTAGCGTAGTGATTAGTAAGAACTAACTTTACTACTTAGTAATCACTACGCCATATAATGATATTGAATAAAAGTCTGTGAGGGTTATGAAACAAATAGCTCGCTGCACGCTCCAGATCATGTTGACGGAGTTCACATGCCACTGAAATATTTTATTCACGATGTTTTTCTTCACCATCAAGCAAGTGGTAAATCAGAACTTAAATTTCAATTAACAATTTCATTTGTACCATTAAGTGCGCATTGCTGGCGTACTGTGATGTTTATAGCGGGCGCTCAGCATCTGAGTTACAATGAATCTACAAACTCTCTCAGAAATTAGAGTAGGTTTATGCCTCAATTACACAAATATATGCTTTAACTTAATTTATTTTTTATATAACATAAAATACAACAGTTATATCTATACGACGTCTCGTATCGTTATCGTTATATCTGATATCGTTATATCAGCTTAACACACCAACATGATGAAATACAACGTATCATCGCATTTCAACTCATCCGCATTTTGATTCTTAATCGAGGATAGATATGTAAAGTCTATGGGCCACATCATCCACTCACCATCAAGTGAACTGTGTGCACGTTTACTTCTATTTTTTTATAGAAGTAGTACTCTTCTCTCCACCGCATATTGTCACATAGGATTAAGAAAATAAAATATCCAATAATAATTATGAAAAAGTTGATTTATTATAATTATAATTATAATAATTATTATAATACAGTTTACAATAATTACAAGCGATCACCAAACGGGGTGAAACAAAACGGCGAATTAAATTATGGGGCGGCTGCGCGCGGTCCAGCGCGGCCGGCGCGCGCCCCGCGCAGCCGCCCCGCGAGTTAGGTTATAGTCTTTCGAACGCGAGGAACAAAATGTTACACAAGTCGAGAATATTATTTATAATCGATAAACGATTCGGAGTAAATCGGATTCGAGAGCGGCGGAAGCGAGCCGCGGCGTCAGCGGCGGGGAGCGGGGCGGGGCGGGCGGTCTGTTCACTGCCGCTACGGGCAATCGCACTCCTCGACTACCATCTCGGGCAAGTCGCGCTTGATGATGTTCGAGTCGGCGCCAAAGTAGATTAGCGACAGCGCGGAGAAACGCACGGGAGCGCAACACGCGGCGCGCTCCAGTTTTGCCGCTTCAACCACCTGCGCGTGGTAGTTAAGGATGGGTGCGCAGGCTCCGCGGCAGTAGTTCGCGTAGTAGCCCTCCGGCGCTACGATCCAGTCGTCCCAGCCGAGCGCGCGGAAGCTCACGTAGTAGGTCTGGCGGCAGCAGCGGCCGCGTGCGGCGGCGTCGCAGTCAAGCGCGCGGCGGCGGCGCGTAGCATGTTGCCGTAGCGTGAGTCGTAGCAACGGGCGGGCGGCCGCCGCGCCACCCAACCGAAGCCGCACGCGACCCGCGCAACCGCTACAATCCAACAACAGCCGTAGAGGGGCGCGCGCGCCAGCCGCTGCCCAGCGCCGCGCTGCGCCCGTCACGTCCAGTCGCTGCCATGCGCGCGCGGCGCCACGCGTAGCACCCGCTAGGGCGCCTACGCGCGTCGCGCTACCATTGCCCGCTACGGTAAATGCCCACAGCGTGTAGCGCGGTCGCCGCGCACGTGGTGCTTCAGCGCGCACGAGCAACTCGGCGCGCGCCACCGCAAGACCTTGTTCGGTCTCGGCTTCATGACCCAGCCGGAATTCGATCAGGCGCTGTCCGTTCAGGGTCTCACCTGTAAAACGACAGAAAATTACTATATTTTACCCGATTGTTTTCAATCCTACGATCCCTACCTACGGCGAAATGACTCATTGTTCGTGCTCGGCGATTGCGACGTACAGGAAGGTAAGAGGATAAAATAGGCAGAGTGCACACGGTGGTCGCCCATGGCTGTGGACTGCGCGTGCGTGGTCGTCAAGAATGCTCGGCTTTGTGGCGAAGCCGCTCGAACACCCACGACGGGACACGGTTTGCGGTAGCCGCGCGAACGCCTGCTTTGCTACATCCCCATTGGGACCTATTGGATTATGGGAGTATTGATAACTTTAAATGGGATATTTCACCGCCGCAATCACCGATGCTTTGATGTTGAAGTAATTAATAGTTTTGGGTTGAACTTTGACAACTCCAACGTTGAACTCCAAGAAAGGCGTCGCTTGTAGCGTTGCTTGTTGCGTCTCTTTTCGCGTCGCATATTCGCTCGAAGATGCCACCTCAGTTATCTGGAAAAGGATTAACAGTTGAATGTCAATTAATAATCTAAGATCTTAAATCTAGCCGACGATGATACGTTCCTGGCCTATTTCTACGGCTTTCTTAACCTTCAAATATAAAATAAAGTGGATGGCACTTCTGCTTGGTGGTAAAAATAGGTAAGAGGGTGATAGGTTGGTAATAAAAGAAGCCTCTTATCTACATTCCCACCTTTATCTTGGGGACCTCTCCTGGTCCCCAAGATAAAGGCTATGCCTAGTTTGGGGTCCGCCAGTAAATTTTTTATATGTAATAAGATTTAAAAATAATTTAATATAAGTAACTTTTTTTGTGTTTAGCTCTCTAACTCTATTTATTAGGAATAAATGTTTTTTATTTTTTTTTTTTACATTTGAGGCTATTAAATTAAAAACGAAAAATACAAGAATAAAAAGAAATGACTGTTAAATGTAAATTTTGCTGCCCATAAATACGTCCCACTCGGGCACAGGCCTCCTCTGACTTGTGAGATAGTTATGGATCAATTAGTTCGCTGTGATCTTACAGTACGTGTTTGTGGACTTCATCCATTTTATTAACCAGACCTGCAAGTTTCCTTATTATGTCTTCGTTCACCGCTGAGCATGCAGTAAATCAGCACTTAGAATTGCAATTAACAATTTCATTTGGTCCGGCGAGGATCTTTTTATTATTTTTACCTCCACACTAAGATTTTTTCCTGTGGCAGTTTACATACATAAATTTCACAAGGACAAACATCCAGATCTGGAGTAATTACTTGTAGGCCATACAAATACTTGTTCCGTGCGGGATTCAAACCCGCGGCCCTTAGCGGTGCAACCAATTGCTAAGCCACTGAGCCACAGTGTCGTCAAAGATCAAGTCAAGGATCAAACCTTATATTATTAAAATTGATATTAGATGACTTTATTTATTTATTTATTTATTATTTAATTAATCTTTTATGCACAAAATTGTATATATGACGGACTTAATACCATATGGCATTCTCTCCCAGTCAACCATTAGGCTAAACAGAGATATAAAAACAAAAGGCGATGCAGCAGTAATCAAAATAGAAACGGCTAAAAAAATATTTTATATACATATATAAATACATACATACATATATACACAATACGTATAAATATTATATATATATATATACATATACGTATGTCAGAACAAATATGAAATATACATATGCGTATGAAAATAAGAGCTATGTTAGTTCAAACTTGCAACGAGTTTTTCACATGCTTACGGACTTGATTTTTAAAAACAAACTTGTTGGAAGCTTTTTTAATGTCAAGAGGGATGTTGTTCCAGAGTCTGATGGCCGTGAGGGCGAAGGAGTGAGATAAATAACCAGTACGGTGTAAAGGAGTGGGCAACTAAATATTGGCCGAAGAACGGAGAGAACGATTATGAGAATCTCCCAGGTATTGAAATTTGGATTTCAGATACTCGGGAGCACATGGATCGTTAAGAATTGTGAAAAGGGTGCAGAGTATTCTAACATATCTGCGCTAAAGGATAGGCAGCCAATTTAGCTGAGCACGAAAAGAAGATACATGGTCGTATTTACGGAAATCCAATCCAATGTATTGTAATGTACTCGTATTAAGATGATGTTGAGACAGTTCTGAGCAACACACATCGACACAATCAATAATCGGTAGGATGACTGGACGAGTAAAATCTTAGTGTAGGTGGGAAGAAAGTTTTTTAATCGATATAGAGATCGCAAAGTTCCAGTGCTTTTGCGACTCACCTCCTGTATATGTTTGTTCCACCATCAACGTACAGAACAAGGTTCTTTGCATGGGGAGAGAATGGTATGACATTATTTTTAAACATAATTGATGGTAGGGTGGGAATATCCAGTTTCGATAATAATCGTGGGCTACCTAAGATTATTGTTTGGCACTTGATGGGTTCACGTTTATGCCATACACAGTGGACCATTCGGAGATGTATGTCAAGTCATCATTTAATAATGAGATAGCATTAGAGATATTTGAGGGTTCCACTTGCACATATAAATATAACTGCAGATCATCAGCATACAGATGGTAAGAGCACTTGAGATTTAATGTGATGAGATTGATAAAATTTAAAACAGAAGAGGAGACTATACCGCCTTGAGGGACGCCAGTAGACACATCACACCCACAGACACACAGTCAGATATATGTCCAGTGCGCACGGCCTGTTGGCGGCCTCGAAGATATGATGAGAACCATTCCTGAACTGAAGACGAGATATTCAAACGAGAAAGAAGGGCCAATAAAATATCATGATCAACAGAATTACATGCGTTAGAAAAATCAATTAAGATGAGGACGATCAGTTTTGATTTTTCTATCTCCTCTCGGATATCTTCCGTCACCTTGAGAAGAACAGTAGTAGTAGAATGACTAGGGCGGAAACCCGACTGATAAGACGAAAGAATATTATTTGAGAAAACAAAAGAAAAAATCTGTTTATGAGCAACAGCTTCCAGAACCTTAAAGAGAAAAGGCAGAATAGAAATTGATATGAAATTGAATGCAACTCTGTACGTTGCAGTCGGTGGATTTAGCAATGGGAATAATAAAGGCTTTATGCCAGAGAGACTCCATTCGTCAGCGAAAAGTTAATGATACTCGTATGAGTTATCACGGGTATAACAGCATCCAACACGTGTATAACTATTACCCTACTCACATCATCACCACCAATGGCTTTCGATTTAATAGAAGAAAGTGCTTTACGTATCTCGCCTTCGTCTACAGGAGAAAAAGTGAAAGTTTCGTGAGAATAAGGATGCATGGAAGATATAAATGAGATAGCATTAGGTATAGAATTATCAGAAACTATTTGAGAAGACAGAAAATGACGATTGAAATCGTCAGGAGAAAAAGTGATGCTATTATAATCAAATTGCGATTTTCTATATCCAAGCGTTTTGAGAAACTTCCATATATCAGCCGAAGATGAATTAAGTACTTATTGGTCGATATGTCGGTGCTTAGCAGCTCTCACCATCTGATTACATCGATTTCTCGCAGCTTTATATGCCTGACACTTTAGATCAGTACGATTCTTCTTAAAAGCGCGAAACATTCTGTCGCGTTTTGCCATAGCGATTCTTACCTCAATCGTGATCCATGGAACGCATAGGGGCATGTTCTTTATACAGTCCTAATATGTTGCTATTAAAAGAAGTCGACTTTTTCATCACATGTAGAAGCAGTATACACAGATGATCAGTTAATAGCATCCGCATCACACTTGAGCTTATCTATATCTAGTCCAGCAAGACTTTGAATAGCGATAGACACGGATAAAGGCTTAGGAGACTTTAATTTATATGACGGAAAAAGCAAGTCATGCCGTGAAAATCCAGAAGCAGGGAATTGTCTATAATTACAACGTGTTCAATGGAGGAGACGGCTATAAGGTATATCCATGGGTCAGCAGAATGGAAGTTGTGATGTGTTGCATTTAGAGGCAAAATAGTGAAATTATGCGACATCATGGTAGACCTCATTTTGCAAGATTTGAGAGAAGCCCCTAATAGGTCAGGCAGTTTACAAACATAAATTTCACAAGGACAAACATCCAGATCCGGAACAATTATTTTAGGCCATACAAGTACTTGTTGTACGAATACGAACCCGTTGCCCGCAGCAGCGCCACACAGTGTCAAACCACTGCGCTATGGTACCGTCAATTTTGATTCTTAAATCCTCATTTAAGAATCAAAATTACAAAGCTAGGACATAGCTTACCATTAGATGGACTATATACTAATCTGTCACCAGTTACATTGCATTCTATAAAACAATTCTACATAATATCTGAGTTAAGCCACTTTCATTTAAAATCCACGATATTTTCATGACATATATCTTCGTGTGAGCTAGCCTTTATAACAAAACCTGACGGCCGATAGCGCCGCCGACACTTAAATGGAGTTAAGCATGATCATACTGGATAGCTTAGCACGCGATGGTTGTCACCAGCGAGGCGATATAGCGAATGGGCCATAGGTTTACGCCCTGCGGAATGTGTGTCGCAAAAACCGCAAAATAAATGCATTTAGGTCATGTCGTGTGCTTTTATATACCTAATCGACCACACATAATTCAAAGTCGTTGCATTTTCTAAATGATCGAACGGATTAAGTTTTGAAGGTTAAATTATTTTCCTGCCTAAAACACGTGAACAAAGTTACTTGAGGATATTTATTGGATTAAAACTGTGTTATGGCAGAGTACGAGATTCCATCACTCCATTTCGTCCCGTGGTTGTAATAAGAGGCGACTATACATAATTTAAAATTAAAATTTTTATACAATCGAATTCAATATAACTTATTACTCGTAAGAATAACTCAAAAACTATTGGTCCGACCTTGATCAAATTTATATGACATTTTAGCGGGAACGCACACAGCAAAAGTAAAAATCAATCAACATCGATGATTCTTTTTTATTTGAAAGCACCAGCTTTCAAATAAAAAAGAATCATCGATATCGGTTCACCCAGTAAAAGGTTATGAAAAATAAAAAACATACAGTCGAATTGAGTACCGTCTCCTTTTTGAAGTCGGTATAAAATACTAGAAATGTCTTATGGCTTCCGGTCTTCATGCCTGGTAGTGATATAACGATTTTATAGTGATATAAAATCAAAGATGTGAGAGGTCTGGCACTGCGACCGTCAGTCTACACTAGCTTGACAAATAGGGTAATTCCTCCCTACGAGAAGTAAGGCCCAAGTCCACAAGTTTGATGGCCCTGTGGCGCAGTGGCTTAGTAATGAGTTGCCGTGCTAAGGATCGCGGATTCGAATTCCGCACGGAACAAGTATTTGCATGACCTACAAATAATTGTTCCTTCGTGTGGTCTGGATGTTTGTCCTAAGGAAATTCATATATGTAAACTGCCCCCAAAATACAGGAGAAAATCCTAGTGTGGAGGTTACGTTTTTTTTTTTGCATAAATAAATAAAAATAAGTGCCATTTCGAAGTACCGATAACAGATGGGTAAGAAAGGTTCTCGAGTGGCAGCCTCGTACCGGCAGGCGAAGTGCAGGGCGTCCCCCCACTAGATGGAGTGATAACCTGGTAAGACATTCAGGGAGTCGATGGATGCAGGTGGTTCAGGACCGTGCTTTGTGGCATTCCTTGGTGGAGGCCTATGTTCAGCAGTGGACTTGTTAAGGGCTGTAATGGTGATGATGATGATGAAGTGGCATTTTATGGACTGATGAAAAAGATAGAATAGACGCGTTCTTAGGTTTTTTTTTGTAACATGTTCATAAATTGTATATAATGTATACGATTAACGGTCACACTTTCTTTATGGTAAATTAGAAAACAAGCAAATATCTATTAATCTACAGTAAATTTTGTGTTGTTAATAAATGTTAATATATTAAAATTTACGGCCTTATCATTAAAATCTGCATCTTTTTCAGGTCCTTGGCCAACGCTTAGAATTGAGTTACGGTGCTGAGGGCCGCAAATTCGAATCCCGCACGGAACAAGTATTTGTATAGCCTACAAATAATTGTTCCCGTTCTGGATGTTTGTCCTTGTGCAATTTATGTATGTAAACGGCCTCTATGATACAGGAGAAAATCTTAGTTTGTGGGTAGCGTAATAAAAATTACGGCCCGATTATAAAAATCATTTTTTATGGATTAATTTGTTGCAGTATTAATGGGTGGGCTCGAATGGAAAAGACCACGATAACACAGAATAACAGGGTGCAATATGCGGCATAATGCGGTTGTGCTCCGTATGTTATGTGTAGAGATTCAGCTACTCTTTTTAGTGGTAAACTAGCTCTCCCCCGCGACTTCGCCCGTGTGTAATTTAAGGTTATAATTTTTTTTCGAAGAACCCTAATTCCTTTTCCAAAATAAAAGTAGCCTAAGTTAATCCTTATAATATTAGCTATCTACCTTATGAGATTAGCCGGAACAAACAGACAGACAGACAGAGAAAAATGTATACCGTTTATACTATTTATTTATTATTTATTTATTTGCTTTTTAGTATGTATGTTACATGAAATACTATTAAATATGATGTATTACATACTAAGTCCCTAATGGAGACATGTAAATTTGTTTATTCTTTGAAAGTTTTGTTTTATAAAATTAACATATCAAAATCAATCAATCACAACAAACAATCCATTTCATTATATAAAAATGTCAAAATTGTAATTAAAAAATAACAAACAAAGATATTTAATTAAACAATATTAAATACCATGTCAGTTAATAATAAAATTGTCGATTTATCAGCTAGTCTTATAAAAAAGTTGTCATTAGTAATTTAAAAACTCAATTGCCTAGTAAAATGTATTTTGAAGAAGCCACTGGTTTTTTTTTAAATTTTTGTATAGGACGATTTCTGATTGTTTGCGGTATTTTATTGAATATTATTTTACCATATAGGTACCAATGTCACTGGGGATGGTAACTTTCCATTAATGTTTTATCTCCTTTTTTATATAAGGGTTTTACAACAGGCACCTTTAATTTTTCTGCAAATGTGCCAGATTTCATTGACAAATTAACTAAATAGACTAGCACCTTACTAATTTGATTTTTGCACGCTTTGATAACCTTTGTACATATGCCATCATAACCTTCTGAATTTGTATTATTTAATGTCATTTTTATATTACTTATATTATATTCATCAACCGGTGTTAGATAAATTTAATTTTTTATTATTTATTTTATTTATCAAATTAATATAGTAATTATTAAAAGCCTCAGCTATTTTTATAGGTTGAGTTATTAAAGAGTTATTGTCTTTTATTCATTCTAAATATTTATCTGTTGCTGTATGCCCTACACACTACAAATAATAGTTCATTTTTAATAATTTTCCAGGTGGATTTTATGATATTTTTGCTATTTAGTATAAACTTATTATTACTATATTTTTTGCGTAATTTATACATTTTCTTAAAAGCCTTGTGTAATCATTATATAAAACTTTATTATGATTTGTTTTATTTATGTAATATTTGTAACGTAATATTTTTTTCATAAAACAACTTTTTTTAAATAACTTTTGAAATCCACTTTATATCTGGTCTGATGTTAGATTTAATTTTTATTATCGGAAAGCAAAGCTTCTAAAACAGATGCAATAGTTCATAAAATTTATTAAAAGCTAAATTTAGGTCAGTTTCCAAAAACACTTCAGAAAACGATAAACTTTCTCGGTAAGCCTGAAACTTATTAATATTTTCTTGAGAAAAACTTCTTTTGAAAGAAAGGACTCTCCTATACATTTAGTAAAACGCTGTAATTTTGACATTACAAACAGACACTCCAATTTTATTTATTTGTATATATATATATATATATATATATATATATATATATATATATATATATATATATATATATATATAAATATACGTATGTCAGAACAAATATAAAATATAAATATGTGTATGAAAATAAGCGCTGTGTTAGTTCAAACTTGCAACGAGTTTTTCACATGCTTACGGACTTGATTTTAAAAACAAACTTGTTGGAAGCTGGATTTTTTTTTGTCGGCATCATATTCTTCAACACAAATTAAGCCTTTGACACTCCATAGATGAAAATTAATTCAACGATATGCTGTTCTTCAAATCCATTAAGCTGATAATATAGCAAAGAAAGAAACAAATATACATGCGACCAATTAATGTATGTAATGAAATGTAGCGTGTCTTGTTAGAGATAGCATGACACAATTATTTAACTTTAATAAAAAAATTGACCAATATTTTTTATTTCAAATTGTTATACAAATCCAATTTTAAATAAAACTACTTTTACGGATTTCACCGCGTTTAATTCTACTATTTTTTTAATTCCCCACGTTTTGGCTGAAGGTTCTCTGGGTTATCGGGACGTCAATCACCTCAGTTCCTCGAGATCATGGGTGCTTGCTCCAAAGCACCGGAAACGTCGGGAGTTAAAAAAAATAAACAGAATTACACGCGATAAAATTCTTAAAAGTAGTTTCATTCAATGTGTAGTGTTCGCGTAAATATAAGGAATCATTATTATAAAAATCGACTTATTAAAGTCCATATATGATAATACATATAATAAATAATGTACCTACTGTTTTCGTGTTTTGTACCTTAAAATTATTTTTGTTTTTGAAGACGAAACGTAACAGCAATAACTGTCGATTGTATACAGAATTCTGGCAGATCTAGGTTTCGCATAATATGCCTAAACGAGGCCACGTTGACACGTCCGCTCGACGAAATAAATTGGAAACATTTATAAACAGCTAGGCATATACGCAGTAGCAGCATTTTATTGTAAAACTAGCTTTAATCCGGGGCTTCGCTTGCGTAGAATACGCCCGCAAAAGGAAAGTAAGTGGAACATAGAAGGTCGATTTGGACACATATATATCTTTATATATAATTGACGGTTCCATGGCGCAGTGGCTTAGAAATGAGTTGCTGCGCAAAGAGCCGCGGGTTTGATCCCGCACGGAACAAGTAATTGTATGGCCTACAAATAATTGTTCCGAGTCTGGATGTTTGTCCTTGTGAAATTTGTGTATGTGAACTGCCCCCACAATACAGAAGAAAATCCTAGAGTGGAGATAACGTTTTTATTAAAAAGATATATATATATATATATATATATATTCTTCTGTGTGTATATGAATGAACACGAATGACCGATTTTGATGAAATTTTGTGTGTGATTAAGTTGATTTAAGAATGGTTTAAATTCACAATTGGACCCGGTAGGTGGCGCTGTTGTTAAGATCCAGAAAGCACCCGTGCGAAGCCGGGGCGGATCGCTAGTTAGTCTATAATATATTCATCTAGTAAAGCTAATAAAAAATTATAGAATACTACGTATATAAGATCTAAAATTTATTGTGCCTGAAGTGATAAACTGACTTGCAGACCACCTAGTGTTAACTTTTTTTTATTTTTTTGTAATTTTAGAATCAGGGTGACAAACGAGCACACATTCCACTTGATGGTAAGTGGATGATGTGGCCCATAGACATCTACATCTATCCTCGATTAAGAATCAAAATGCAGATGCGTTGTCACCCCTGAGGACCAAGATGGAGTGCCTCGTTACCAGTAAAAAGGTTCTCCGGTTCTCTACACTCACCATACGAAACACAGCAGCATTATGCTATTTTACGCTGGTATTCTGTGAGAGCGTGGTCCAATTGTGAAACATTCATGCTACAACTAGACCATTAATATAGCTGCAGCATTGCTCTACCACGGTAAAAACACGTCTGGGTTGGTACCAGTATTATACTATTTTATGGTATGAGTATGGTGGGTGTAAAGAACTGGAGATCCATTTTACAGTAAAAGAGGCATTTCATCTTGGTTCTCACTATAGTGAAGTGTTTAAGCGTTAATAATCCATACAGTGGTTTTACTTGGTGCTCACTTCAGTTTAAAAGAAATGGACACTATAACACAGAAAAATATTACTAATATATTTAACGACCATCTTGCAATTACCGAGACAACTCTAGAATGTTCATATAGTAACATGCGTTATGGAGTTAAAGATATTACTTAGGACAAGCGATATAGATGTAGAATGGAAAGCAATGGGCCGTTGCCGTGAATAACTTCATGTCACGCAAAAATATTAGCAGAGTTCGTGTCGGAAAACGTAATTATTCAAAATTATTTTGGATTCTATAGTAGCTACACTTGCCTCGAATTATCACAAAAAATTTTTTTTTACTCATCACTACAGCCCATCTAAACTCCACTGTGGAACATAGGCTTCCCTCAAGGCTTACCGGAAGGTATATTAGCCATAGTTTTCAAGCTTTTCATCAAGCCAGGAAAACACAGTTTTTTTTTTATTATTATCTAGTTGTTTTTTTTTTAGAAAGATACCGCTGTAGTCTCTTGTTTCAGTTTTTCTATATTACCCTTTTTAATCGTTTCCCTGTCCCACGAATCATATATGAACATTTTGATTGTAATACGATTGTCCGCGAAATAGACACAATAACCATTGTGTCTATTTTGCGCTATTTATTATTATTATGAAAGTTTCATAACTCGGAAGAGAATAGAAAAGTGCGAGGGAGATGGATATTGTTCCTTCTCGCTCGCACTATAGAAATGGGGTCGTGATGGAAAAATCTTACACTTTTTCTCGCCTAGCCCCCATCCGTCAAATTCGTACCGTGCGATAAGGAACCTCGTTCGATAATAATTTTCTTGTACAAGTAAGGTTGAGTAACGAACACACAGTCCAGCTGATGATGCGGATACTGTCTGCATACATGACTACATTTATTCTCGATGAATCAAAATGCAGATGCGTTTACACCCCTTAGAACAAACATAAAATGCATCATTACCATGAAAGCAAAAGAATTATCCAGAAATATTTTAATCTATAACTCTTATTTTCACAAGGCTTTAAACAAAGCAGTGTTAAACTGCTATTTTACGCTGGTATTCTGTGAGAGCGTGGTCCTTCCCCGGTCGAGCCGACCCAATGCGTGCTACAACTATACTACTAATATAGCTGCAGCATGGCTCTACCACGTAAATAACGTGTGTTTTACGTCTGACCATAAGATTTCTCTGCTATTTCCCATAACCGCCACTTACACCATTAACGGGAAGAAAACGGGGTGATATGTTTTTTACGCTGCCACGGCAAGCAAGTCTACAGCTTCATCATAGCTCCAACTAATATTGTTTCCAATTTTCAACCACACTGATAAACCGAAAGACATTGTGGCCGTGAAAAGAAAAGGGGAGATCTCCCATCGGGCAAGGTGTTCTGCCTGAGGAGCGGCCAACGCTCTGAGTGGTAGTTCGGAGCTATTCTATATACACAGCCTTTACTTCGGAACTTTGATAGCGCTATTTAGGTTGCGATGTGTTTCGCTTGTGGCGCGACAACAACGCTGCCACAGTATACAAAAAATGAAAATAATGAGCATAAACGAAAATATGAGGAAGTTTTATTTAAATTGTAAAACGAATAGAATGTTTTTATCGTTTATATCTATTTAAAGAATTTTTAGCATATAATTTATTTGCTATTCTAATTTTAAAGTTTAGTGGTCGAAATTATGTAAGATTTTAAATAGCGCCGGTCTTTTTCGTCGTGAAATGTGACTTCACTAATGATTTCGACGAGTGATGGAATTTTCTTTAAATTTTTTTCGTTTTTTATATTAAATATCTATTAAAAATTAACCATATCTGTCCTATGCATGGTTCAATCAAATTCGATTCCCAGTAAGTCTAAGAACTGGCGCGGCGGAGTTTATCCGCTGCATTATTGTCTCAACAATGAAATACGAGTTGTTAAAGTTAAGGTTAGGTAAATAGTTTAGACACAAACAGCTTTTACCACAGACTTTCTGATTAAATAAAAACGCCGCCCAAAAAATAAACCAAATTACATATTTGAAATCATTACACACCCTTAGTCAATTGTTACGAGACCAGCCGGCGGAAGGTGCTTCTAGCTTTTTGACTTTTTTTGCGTTAGCTCGTAACATAGCACAGAACATACGTCTCTCTCATAATATTTTATTGAATTTTTGTCAATACTTCACATTAAAAAAAAAAACTTAAAAAACACGCTTTTGTAAATAACCGAACTAAAAAGTAGAAAATAGT